GCTTCCCAACTTTTCTAACTATGATCACACGTTGTGGAGAGAAATGGACACAGCCAGGCGTCTTTTTGTTACCTAGCTACTTGACATCGTAAAAGAAATCATCGTGCGTGTTAAAAAGTCATCGGCTGCTGTATGTGAGAAGGAAGGGCCTCCTGGGCCGCTGCAGCCCATGCACAGACGCCGGTGGCTTACAGTCCCTGGGAGAACCTTCCGGGAGGCGTCTGCATGTCTGCACACCATCTCCCCCTGAGCTTTCGCACTTGCTCACAGTGGGGTAATATCATCGGCTCACACATCAAGGGGAAGCGCCCTCACACACCCACGTTCACAACAGCCAGGGGTGGAAGCAGCCCACGCCCCCTCCATCCCCTCCTCCCGCCCCCCTGCCAACCCACCTGGGGCAGGCCGGTGAGCAGGCTGGCGCGGCTGGGAGAGCAGCTGCTGACGGAGGTGAAGGCGTTTCGGAAGATGAGGCTGCGGCGGGCCAAGGCATCCAGGTGAGGGGTGGAGATGGCGCTGTTGTTGTAGGCGCCACTCTCAAAGCCTCCGTCATCGGCTGGGGAAGGCGGGAGACAGGGAGGACATGGTGGGCCGGCGTCAGGAGGCACAGCACAAGCGAGTGAGGGGGCCTGTCGTTGCGCGGCACAGGCTCGGGCTGGGGACGCCAGGAGGGCAAGATGCCCAGATGGGCATGGTGCCCAGGAAGCACGGTTCTGGCCCCCAGCAGGCTTGACACCTGAGTGGGTATGTCAGACAGGTATGACACCCAGAGGGCATGTGAGCAGGTGGGCATGATAATCAGGTGGGTGTGATACCTGGGCAGGCATGGCACCCAGCAGGCATGATACCCCAAATAACCTTGACATTCAGCAGGCATGCTACCCACACGGGCATGTTACCAGGTGGGCATGTTACCGGGTGGGCATGTTACCAGGTGGGCATGCTACCCGTGTGGGCATGCGACCCGCGTGGCCACGTTGGCAGGCAGTGGCTAAGTGCACAGACACAGCGCACTCTGGGCAATCCTGGGCTCTGTGGAAGCAGCAGGGGCCAGGAGCGCCATGCCCAGTGCACGTCTGAGGACCTGTGCCCGCACATCCCACCACCACCTCTCACTGGTGCTCAGCACCCAGCCCCAACCGCCCAGTGACCCTGCCGATTGTCAACCCCTTCACCAAAGGGGTGAAGCAACCAGAGAAGTGCAGTGCAGCACCCGGGGCCACACGGCGGGGGCAGCAGACAGGCCTTGAGCTCCTACAGCCACAGCAAGCTCCTCCTTCCAACATGGAGCAGAGCACGCCAGGGGCACCCTGGAAGAAGCTGGTGGGAACCCCCAGGGCAGCACCTCCCCAGCTCCCTCAGAGGCACTGCGGTCCTTGCACAGAGGGGTAGCTGTGGCTGTCCTCCAGCTGGGCTACTGTCTTGCACCCTGTGGGACCCACTGGGTGTGAGCCACTGGCCAGACGGAGGGACGTGGGGTGCTGGGGTGTGACGTTGGGAGTGCATCCTGCCTGCAGGCCAGGCGCAGAAGCTGCCCTTCTCCAAACCCACTTAGATGGTCTCTGAACTTGGCTATGGACTGAATCGTGTCTTCCCAAAACTCCTGCGTTGAAGCCCTAACCCCAATGTGACTGTATCTGTTGATAGAGTCTTTAAGGTTAAGTGAGATTATAAGGGGGCCCTAAGCTAATAGGGCTGTGGTCTTAAAAAGAGGAAGAGAGACCCCCAACCCACATGAGGAACAGTGAGAAGGCGGCCACCTGTGAGCCAGGTAGAGAGCCTTCCTCACAACCCCACCCTGCTGGCACTCTGATCTCTCACCCCCAGCCTCCAGAGCCGTGAGAAATCAATGTCTGCTCTTTGGTACTTTTTTTTTTTTTGAGACAGTCTCACTCTGTTGCCCAGGCTAGAGTGAGTGCCGTGGCATCAGCCTAGCTCACAGCAACCTCCAACTCCTGGGCTCAAGCGATCCTCCTGCCTCAGCCTCTCAAGTAGCTGGGACTACAGGCATGCGCCACCATGCCCAGCTAATTTTTTCTATATATTTTTAGTTGGCCAATTAATTTCTTTCTATTTTTAGTAGAGACGGGGTCTCGCTCTTGCTCAGGCTGGTTTTGAACTCCTGACCTTGAGTGATCTGCCCAGCACGGCCTCCCAGAGTGCTAGGATGACAGGCGTGAGCCACTGAGCCCAGCCCCTCTGTGTAGTACTTTGCTATGGCAACCTGAGCTAAGACAGGACCTAAGGGGGGGGGGGCTGGATCGCCTGGGATCCCAAAGGACCCAGCGCTGACCCCGGTCCTCGGTCCTCGCAGGACCTGGATCGACAGAGCCCATCCTGCACCAGTGGCCCTGGGAGGTGAGTTGGCAGGAGGGCTGTTTATGCTGCAACGAGCAGATCTGCAGCCCAGAGACCACAGAGTGAATCAGAGACGGCGGGGCTGGCAGGGAGCCAGACCTCAGAAGGGGAAAGAATCTGAGGCCTTATGGCTTGTCAGGGGCCCTGGCACCCAAACAGGAAGTCTTGTGAACAGCACGTGCTGGGGGAACCTGGGCTGGGGAGAGGGGGTGGGGTTGGGGGAGAGGATGGGTGGGCAAGGGGCCTGCGCCCTTCAGACAGGAGAAGGGAGCTGAGCCCCCGGCTCTGAGGTCTGAGAAGGCTGGGGCAAACTTTTGGGGCACAGGGGGTGCGCGGGGAGAGCCAGAGGGTCCCTGCCCGCGTCTCTGGGGCCCTCCCTGGGCAGCAGCCCCTCGCCTGGCGTCCCCTCTGGGACCTGCGCCCCGGGCTCCGCGAAGCCGCCCCTAGGCTCGGGACACGGCGGGCAGGGGTGCGGCGCTGAATGCGGACGACCGCTCGGACCGGCCGCTCGGAGGGACACACGGGGGTGCGGGGCAGCAGGGGGAGACGCGAGGGACGGCCGCGGGGCCGCCCGAGCAGACACCCGTGCGGCACTGCCGCTGGGGAGAGGGGCGGGGGGAGCGCGCGAAGATGTGGGGGTGCGAGCGCCGGTCCCGACAGCGCAGGGTGGCCGCGGACGGCGCGCCCGGGAGGCTGCACTCACCGAGGATCAGCAGCACGTTCCGGGGCCGCGCCCGGCAGAGCCCCAGGACGAGCAGCAGCGCGCAGCAGGCGGGCCCGGGGCGGCGCATGGCGGCTCCCGCTCCGGCTCCGGCTCGGCCCGGCCCACCCGAGCTTGGTCCCGCCCCGCCAGACCGGGCGGCCCGCCCCTCGGTCACGTGCTCCCCAGGCACCGCTCCCGCTCCGGCCCGTGCGATTTCTGCGGACCCCGCCGCGGGGAAGCCCGGAGACCCGACTGCGGCGCGCTGCGGGTGAGTCCGCGGACCGCGGGGGCCGGCGAGCAGGGCCCGGGACCGCGGCGGCCGGCACACGCCCGGGTCGCCGGGGCCAGCGCAGGGTCCGAGAGGGCGGGCGCCTGCTGCGGGGATCCCCACCGCGTCCCGCTGGGGTCCCCCCAACTCGGCGGTGCTCAGAGCCCGCGGGCCGTGGCCGTCAGCCGGCGGGGTGTCTGGACCACAGGATGGGGCAGGCGGCTGTGGGGGGGAGATGGATTTTGTCCAGAGCAGCGCAGCCGGTCTGGGACAGGGACCAGGACAGGGGGAGGGGCAGAGGCGGGGGGGAGGGGGAGAGGGAGGGACAAGAATAGGGGCCGGGACAGGGGCAGGGACCGGGACAGGGACAGGGACAGGGGAGTGGACGGGACAGGGGAATGGAACTGGGGCAGGGGCAGAGGCGGCCTGGGTGGGCCCTGCGCGCGCAGGGGCGCCAGACCCCAGAGGATGCTGCTGCGCACCTTGAATTCTCGCAGGCACCTCTGACGTTTTCTCAGAACCGACTGGAACCCCTGGTCTGTGAATGCCACAGGTGGGGGCTGAGTTAGGCGTGGCCTCGGTGGGGGACCTCCCCCCAGCACTGCAGTCCGCCGGTGGTGGGTGGCGCGGGCATTGCTGCGCACTTGGAAATCCTCGGAGCCCCCAAGGGCCTCTGGGCCCCGCCCCCACCAGCACCCTCCCGCCGGGCGCTGAGTGCGTGGGGACCCTGCTTCTCTCTGCCCTGCACTCCACATTCCCTGGGGAGGGGAGAGAAAAGGAAACATTCTTTAGGGAAGAGAGTCTAATTAGTCTTTAGGTTTCTCATTAAGAAATAGTTTAGATTCTCATCTGCCAGAGTTGTTGGGGGAGAGAATGCGCCCGGAGTTGGGCAGGAGGGTGCAGGGAGAGGGCATGGTGGGTGGCGGGGTGGCCCAGTACCCCTGTGCACGGATGTTGCCTTCGTCTCTCAGACCAGCATGGCTCCGGGGATCTAATCCCTCTGGCTCAGACCCCTTGAGAAGGAGAAGATAGTGTCCCTGTCCTGATGCCCTGGGCCTGGCCAGTATCACTGGGTCCTCAAAGCCCAGGCCCTGACTGCTGGTCTGTTGCTCGCACCCCCAGCCCCACCTCCGTAGGATGCCCACCTCCGAGAAGGCTCTGGGTCAGGCCAGGTCCTCCAGCCCGGGCATGACCCCGAACACCTGCTGCTGCTCCCGGGGGGCTGTGCAGAGGCGGCTGCCCATCCTGGCGTGGCTGCCCAGCTACTCCGTGCAGTGGCTGAAGATGGACATCATCGCTGGACTCTCGGTCGGGCTAACAGTCATCCCCCAGGCTCTGGCCTATGCCGAAGTGGCTGGACTCCCACCCCAGGTGAGGTGTCTGTCCCTGCTGCCAGCCATGTCTTCTCCTCACGGCCTGACCCCACTCGGGCCTTAGCACCTGTCCAGAAGCAGGGTGGAAATAGGTGGTATCGATTCCAGACTGCAGCCTTCCCGGGTTTCCAACCCCAGGAGGCCTAAGAAACCTTTGGTTTACAGTCTGTAGCATGCGACGCACTCCTCTGCTAGCCATGTCACAGACAGGCACCCAGCTGGTCCAGAACGATGACTCACGGCGGCACGCACAGACCCAGACGGCACACAGGCCTCTGTGCTCCCCGCAGGCAGCACCAGCCCCCCACTCTGTCTGCCCATCAGCACCCCGAGGCCACAGCTGGTTGCCGCTAAACCCTAATCACCGCAGGTCCTCAGGGGCTAACGGAGGGCGGTGGCACTCCCTGCCTGCGTGTGCAGGTGTGCCCAGCGCAGAGTCGACACCCACAGATCTCCGGTGCCCGGACGTGCACTCCAGGGACGCGCGTGGACCGGCCTCAGGCCTCCTGGGTGCTCACGGCCACCTCTTCCCGACAGTATGGCCTGTACTCTGCCTTCATGGGATGCTTCGTGTATTTCTTCCTGGGCACCTCCCGGGATGTGACTCTGGGCCCCACGGCCATCATGTCCCTCCTGGTCTCCTTCTACACCTTCCATGAGCCCGCCTATGCTGTCCTGCTGGCCTTCCTGTCCGGCTGTATCCAGTTGGTCATGGGGTTCCTGCGTTTGGGTAAGACTCTGCCTTCCTGCCGCGGGCGGGACGGGCTCCGGTTCTGCTTTTCCTGGGGTACTGAGGGAGCTACCTCTTGGGGTACCCTTGACATCAGCATTTCCTTGCTTGAGTTCCAAGGGCAATATGTGTGTTGAGGGGGGTGAGGCCCCCGGTCCTACTCTATTCTGCTCGGAGGGCAGGACACTAGAGAAGTACCCAGGGCCTCAGACCCTAGACCTACTCTCCAAAAATAGCCCAGAGAGGGCGTGTCACTTGTTAGTCCTTAGCTCCCTGGTCCCTCCCATGCCATCTCTCCCAGCCCACATGTCCACCCTCATCCTCTGGGGCCAGACGGATCTGGAACCAGCTCAGCATTCTCTCCCGGTCGGCCAGGGTTCCTGCTGGACTTCATTTCCTGCCCTGTCATTAAAGGCTTCACTTCTGCTGCTACTGTCACTATTGGCTTCGGACAGATCAAGGTAGGCACAGTGTCCACCCAGAGCTCTGCCCTCTGGCCGCTGCTAGTTGGCACAGGGGCACCTGGGAGCAGGACCAAGGCCAGTCCTGGTATCTGTGGCAAGCAGATGTCTTGCTGTTTGAGATTGTGTATTCTTAGTGGGTCAAGAAGCACACAGTTCTCTCATGGGTCCCTTATTAATAAAATGACACTCCCAGGGGAGGTGTTGAGTGATGGTCAGTTTTTACAGCGAGTGACTGGAGGAACTGGTAGCCTCGCCCACCGGCCGGCCCGTGCAGTGTTGGTGCCCGTGGGCCTGGCTGGCTTCCGTGCAGCTGCCTGTCTGCGCACCTCCCCCAGGCCTCACCGGCCACGGGCACACTGCTGGGATTTCAACAGGCAATTATTTCCCCATGGTAGTTTAGCTAGATGATTTTGGTTTTATGCTTTTTTTCAACATCTGTTTAATATTTTTCAAATGCCATTTTTTTTTATGTTTCTATTTACAACATCTATAAGATGTACTAAAGTCAGTGATCCTGAGTTAATGATGTAATTTATTGTCTGTTTTCTGGGCCCTGAGTTCCTCCAGGGCAGGGACCGTGTGCTCCCGCCCATGGCTGCCCAGTGCCGTGCCCGGTGCCGTGCCCGGTGGGGAGTAGGGAGTGCTCGCTGGGTGTGTGTGGAATGGGATAGGGCTAAGTTCCATGCATGTCCATGCATGGGGCTGGGGCCCCAGATGGCAGACTCGGGGCCACCCCCCTGCTGGTGACAGCGTCCCAGAGAGGCCCGGTGGAAAACCCAGCACGGGAGACTGTGGAAACAAAGCAGCGGAGGTACTTAGCACTCTGTGCACCAGGCACTGGGTGACACAGTCCATGTGCTTTGTTGTCACCGCACCCCCGGGAGGCAGGTCTGTCGTCATTGTCATTTTAGAGAGGAAATAGCTTAGGTGAGGGTGAATGTGACTTGGGTACTAAGTGCACACACGCCTGGGTAAGCTTGGAAGATGCTGTCTCGGGGTGGTTCGTCCTTTATTCTGGAAACAGCTTTCGTTTTCAGTGCCAAGGATGTTTTTCTGTAGGGCCCTAGTGAGAGGAGAGCGCGCCTGTACGCATTCGCGCTTGGCAGCCCAATGTGTCACCCTGGGAGTCCGGCCTCGACTTCCCTGCCTACACCTGATACTCCCTACCAGCTCCGGAGAGACAGAAAGAGCTTAAAGCTCCAGGAGGAGCCCCCCACCCCCTTGGCCAGGCATCCCCAGCCCCTGCGCTTGGGGAAAGAGTGTTTCTTTCCGGCAGGGGGTGGAGCCGTGTGGGCGTCCCGGGACAGACGCGGTCTTGAGCCAATGGCAGCAAGGGTCCACGTGATGGGGGCGGGCTGATGGGTGATGGACATGGCCACGAGCCAATGGAGGCAAGGCGGGGAGTGGTCGGTCCAGGTGCCTGGTCCCAGGACCCGGGCCTGGGAGTTGTAGAACCGGTCTCCCAGCTTTGGGATCACACGGGGTGTTTTTTTCTTAGCCTGGGAAGTAACTTAGAGAAGCTTGTCATTGACCCAAAGGTTGTGAAGTGCCATCTCTTTGATCTCCTTCCATGGGGGGCTTGAGAGAGGCCAGGTGGTCCCCTGAGAGCCCTGAGCTGTGCCCCAGGAAGGGCCCTGGGGGTCGGGGGTCCTGCCCCAGCCCAGGCCCAGGTGGTGGGAGGGAGCAAGGGGAGGTGCGGGCAAATTGCCTTGGGTCAGAGGCCAGTGATCTGATCAGCTCTCTGTTTGCACAGAACCTCCTGGGACTGCAGAACATCCCCAGGCAGTTTTTCCTGCAAGTGTATCACACCTTCCTCAGCCTGGGAGAGACCAGGTACTGGGCAAGCTCTTCCTCCCACATCCCTGGCCCACTTCCCCCTGCTCGTCCACCCTGGGTGTCATTTATTTCTCTGGGGGAGGGGGCCTTACTGCTGACAGGGGTCCCCAGGGCAGCAGCAGCAGCACCTGGGAGCTGGTTAGAAATGCAGACTCTCAGGCCAGGCCCCAGACCTGCTGCATCGGTCAGCGTTTTAACGAGAAGCCCATGGTTTGAGCCTGAGAGCCCGGCAGCGTGGCATGCTCCACAGAGCTTTGTTGGGCGGCAGGAAGGAGGAGAGACCCTGCAAAGAAATGCAGGCATTCTCTCTTCCTCTCCCCCTCACGGGGTTGTAATTTATCCGCAAAGAGAACACAGGGCGTGGGGAAGGTGACACCAACAGAACGCAGCTGCCGAAGGGAAGGGATGAGGGAAGGCAGGTGGAGTACTGATGGAGACAAAGAGATCCAGGCAGCGCTGGGGAGAGGGTCCCATGCCAGCGCTTCTCTTGGGTGGTTTCAATAAAGAGACAAACCCAGAGGCAGCCAGGATAGCTCTCCCGGTCCTGGAAGGGACCCTGGAAGGGACAGGAGAAGAGATGGTTTGCGGGGAGCTGTAGAGATGTCTGCCTGGTGCCAGGGGCTGGGGTGGAGGGTCCTGGACCCTTGTCTTCTATCCTCTGACCAGCAGCTGAGGTTCTCCAGCAGCTGAACCCAGCTGGAAGCCAGGGGTTTCCAGCCTCCAGGGGGCCAGTGGGAGTGGAGCCTGACCAGTCAGACAGCGGCACTGGGGACAGAAGTGAGAGGGGTCTTACCGAGTGCATAGGCCAGAGCCTTCTAGAACAGACCCTCGTCTGCAGTACGTCGGCTGTAGTCCCCGTTCCCTGTGGTCACTCATCCTGTTCTGCACACCTGAGTCCCAGAGAGCTGTAGGACTGAAATAGGAAGGGGTGGTCCTGCCACCAGCATGACCGGCCTCTTACTCCCAGTCTTGCACGGGTCTGTGTACTTGCTGACTGTGGGGCTCAGTTTTGAAGTGGGATAGTAGATTGCTTAGGAGAAAACACAGAGACAATTGAGGGAGAAAGGCTTCCAGCAGAAGCAGCAGCCGGAGGCCGGGAGGCTTGAGTCAGTGTGAGTCCTGGGCAGAGGTGGGTGGTGACCGTCCTCTGTCTCTCCGCAGGGTGGGTGACGCCGTGCTGGGGCTGGTGTGCATGGTGCTGCTGCTGGTGCTGAAGCTCATGCGGGACCACGTGCCTCCCTTGCACCCCGAGACGCCCCCCGGCGTGCGGCTCAGCCACGGGCTGGTTTGGGTTGCCACGACAGGTGAGGGGCCCCACTTGGACCCGTGCGGGCATGACTTGGACACTGGCGTATTTAGGACTCAGTAGGCGGCCCTGATCGCATCCAGAGCTCAGACTGCTGTCTGCAGCAGCAGCAGCTCTCAGCCGGAGGTTATTCTGTCCCTCCCGGCAACGCTTGGCGATTCTGGGAGACACTGGTCGGTGCTCCTGGGAGAGGCTTTCCTGGCCACGAGTGGGCAGAGGCCAGGGGTGCTGCGGAACACCCTGGGGTGCCCGGCTTCTCGCAGCGTCTGGCCAGTGTCTGCAGTGCCTTCCTCTTCTGGTGTCACGGATCGCTGCTCTGCTACGGGGACCCGGGCCTGTCCTGGGTGCACTGAGGACAGACTGCTGCCTCCCCGGGGATGGCCTCTTGATACACCGATGGCCACGTTGCCCCTGTCACCTTGTAGTCTGCACCATGGCCTTTCTCAGGGACCCTGTGGTTACCTGCGGCCCAGCCTGCAGCCGCCACGCCTGACGCCGCAGCTCGGCTACCGCTGGCGAGTGTGCGGTTAAACAGACCCGGCTGGTCTTGCTGGAATGTGTTTTCTCTCCGGACCTGGCTCAGCGCTGCTGACATTCTGGGCCGGACGCTTCGGACCAGGCCGCTCTTTGCTGCGAGAGGCCACCATGCCCCGCAGGGTGTTTTTACCTCTAGAAGTTGAGTTTGGCTCTCTTTAAACGTACCTCCCACATCTCTGCTTACCAGGCTTATTCTTTCCTCTAGCTTTTCAAATATGTGGCCTTTCGTGACAATTACTGTTTTAACGTCCCATGTTTTAATTCTGTCATCTTTAACTGTGTCACTTTAGGGTCGGTCTTTCCTGATTGATTTTTTCTCCGTGTTACCGGTGGTATTTTCCTGTGTCTCTGCCCGCCTCGCGGTTTCTGCTCGAGTGGGTGCCAGACTTTGTGAGTTTGACGTTGGCTTGCGGGGTGTCTCTGCATTCCGAGAGTCTTCTGGAGCCTTGTTCGGGTCAGGGTTAAGTTACTTAGGGCAGTTTGTTCCGTTCAGGTCTTGCCGCTAAGCTTCCCGGGCTGGGCCAGACCTGTGATTCCAGGACAGGCCCACTCAGGCCCACCACTGGATTTTGCAAATACAGTTCTACTGAGCTCCGGTTTATTCACGGCGTCTGCGCTGCTTTTGTGCAGAAACAGCAGCGTCGATGAGTTGCAACAGAGATTATGGCCTGCAAAGCGAAAAGCGTTTACTATCAAGCCCTTTATGGAAAGAAATTACCGGCCCCAGGTCTAGGGCTAATCCTTACCCACTGCAAAACTCCACTGAGTCCTGCTGCCCCGTGAATTCTGCGGTTTTCTCGCTCTGGCTGGTGTGAGTCCCTGGGGTCGTCCCCTCCCGGGTGGGTTGGGAGGTGTCCGCACAGCTTCGCCCTGGTCTGCGCACCCGGGCACCCTTTGCAGGGCTCCGGAGCTCTCCCGTGAACCTCCTGTCAGCCCAGGCCCCGGCCTCCGAGGACCCCCGGCGTTCACCCCTGAGCCCGGGGAGACTCCCGGGCACTGCCAGGGGTCCCCCCCCCGCCACACATGGGGCCCTGGGGACTCTGCTGAGGCCATTACAGACTCACCTTGATGGTTTCCCGTGTCCGTCACGCCTGATGGCCAGCACCTTGCAAACCGTTGTTTCCTGTTTTGTCCAGTTTTTGGTAGCTTTAGGCAGGCGGGTAGCTCTGGGCTCTTCCTCCGGCTTGCTTCAAAGCGGAAGCACCCGGCATCCGATTTCAGAGTGTCTTTGCCGCCCTGCACGTGGTCTGCGCATCGCCCTGGGGACATGCAGGAGGAGGCGTGTGCACCGGTCCCCACGTCATGCGTGCTCCACAGAGCCACCTGCTCACGCCTGCCACACGGACCCTTGGGTCTGTGCTGTGTTTCCAGGGTGCAGAGTTTGGGTTGCGGCCGGGGCAGGCGTCTTCTGCCCCAGCTACCCGGGCGCAGAGGTGCGTCCGTGCACTGGCCGGGAGCGTGTCCCGCCGCAGCGTCTCTGTCTCTCCTAGCCCGCAACGCCCTGGTGGTGTCCTTCTCGGCCCTGATGGCCTACTCCTTCGAGGTGACCGGATGCCAGCCTTTCGTCCTCACCGGGGAGACGGCCGAGGGGCTCCCTCCGGTCCGGACCCCTCCCTTCTCGGTGACCACCGCCAACGGGACGATCTCCTTCACCCGGATGGTGCAGGTGGGCAGAGACAGGTGCCAGGACCGCCCCACCCCCAACCCCCGCCGGTGGCACGTCCGCGACGTGTCTGCGTAGGGACGGGGGTCTGAGCTCAGTGAGGACTGCCGAGCGCTCAGTTTCGAGAGGATCCCAGACTGGACGTGGCCTCAAGGGACAGCCCGTTTGTGTTTCTGCCTCGAGTCCGGGGCTGTTTCTCCCACTTCGCACACCGGGCAAGGATGAGCTTGCCGTGTTCCTCTGGGCATCTTGGTCCTTCTGTGACGAGGAGGTGGTCCCTGCCCGTGTAAGCTCACGGCCCTGCAGGCGCACTGGCTGCTGGCAGACGTGGAGAAGGGCGGGTCACTGCCCAGTCAGCCCCATCCCCTCCTGTCCGGTTGGGCAGGCCGCTCACCGTCCCTCTCTCCTCTCAGGACATGGGGGCGGGGCTGGCCGTGGTGCCCCTTATGGGCCTCCTGGAGAGCATCGCGGTGGCCAAGGCCTTCGGTAAGATGCCCGGCAGCCCCACTCCGAGGCTCACCTGCCCGTCTTGGCTTTCCTGCTTTCCTGATCGATTCTATCGCTCTGATTTTAGAAAGGCGAATTTTTATCCAGGTCGCACACGCTCATACGTGTGTAACACACATACACACACACGAACACGTATACACAGGCAAAGAGGGATTTACGATGAGAACCCGTGTGCTCATCTTTGAATTCTAGTCATCTCAGCTTATAATCAGAGAGGGTTGTAGTTGAAAACATTTAAAGATTTGCACAGCCTGTGTTTCTGTGGAACAAAAGCTGCTTCCACCGTGGCCCACGGAAGCTGAACGTGGCCCACGCTGGGGTGGGGTGTGCGTGCCCGCCGTGCGGCACCTTGCCCTGTGGGTGCGCTGGGTGCAGATAACCTCACCAGCTACAGCGAGGCGTCAGGTAAGTTAGGAAGTGATGAGATTCAAGTACTGTCTTCTTTTCTGACGTCATTGTTTAATTAAAAGTTTTAATCTAATTGGTAATAATGGCTGGGTTTAATAACAGGCCCACAAAATTCCTACACGTGTAACAGTAACAACGTGCTTTCTCCCGCTGGCTCAGCCCCCGGGAGGCCGGGGGGCACCGACCCATTTAAATATCTGCATCTCCTTTAGCGGGTCTCCATGCCTCCGTCCTAAGTCGAGGCTGTTAAACCCTCCTGCCCTGCCCCTTCCCACTGGGGACCAGGTGCTCCCGGCTTGGGGTCATCAGTGTGGACACCACTGTTATTCCAACCTGTAACTGTAATGCAGTCCTCCTTGCCTTTAGCGAGATGTAGATTCTAAAGGTTAAAACCCAGTGAATATTCTCGTGACTCCATAAGGGTGTTTACTGCCCAGCCCAGGTTGTACCAGGATAAGTTCCTTCTCCAGAATTCCAGGGCTCTAACCTTCACCCCATTCAAAGGAGACTCTTTTTTCCTTTTTTGAGATAGAGTCTCACTCTGTTCCCTGGGCTAGAGTGAGTGCCATGGCGTCAGCCTAGCTCACAGCAACCTCAAACTCCTGGGCTCAAGCGATCCTCCTGCCTCAGCCTTCCGAATAGGGACTACAGGCATTTGCCACCATGCCCAGCTAATTTTTTCCATATATTTTTAGTTGTCCAGCTAATTACTTTCTATTTTTTTTTTTTTAGTAGCGACGGGGTCTCACTCTCGCTCAGGCTGGTTTCGAACTCCTGACCATGAGCGATTTTCCCGCCTTGGCCTCCCAGAGTGCTAGGATTACAGGCGAGAGCTGCTGCGCCCGGCCAGAGACTCTTAACTAATATCAATTCAAGAAAGTTTTCCAGATTCCACCAGTTGCTCAAAATCACACCAGAGTTCAGCTCGTTCCATTCTTGGCTTGTGTCTTGCTCAGTCATTGTTTTCCTGAGTATATATCTTTCTGTTGCAAGAAGAAATATAGGTGTTTCCTCCAATTGTACATATTACGGCTTTTAATCTTCTTGTCTGCTACTTCGAAAACTTTATTTTTGTCCTTTTTGTGAGACAAAGTCTTGATGTGTTGCCCAGGCTGGATTTGAACTCCTGCCTCGGCCTCCTGAGTAGCTGAGACAGACACATTCCCTTTTTTTCTGAAGTCACCCGACCTCCTGGCCGTATCTATAGAGCTGGTCACTCTTGTCGAAGGTTGACAGACTTTGCTGCTTGCTTTGTGTGGCCAGTGGCCTAAGAACGACTTCCACATTTTTTTTTTTTTGAGACAGAGCCTCGCTTTGTTGCCCAGGCTAGAGTGAGTGCCGTGGCGCCAGCCTAGCTCACAGCAACCTCAGACTCCTGGGCTCAAGTGATCCTCCTGCCTCAGCCTCCCGAGTAACTGGGACTACAGGCATGCGCCACCATGCCCGGCTGGTTTTTTCTATGTTATTAGTTGGCCAATTAATTTCTTTCTATTTATAGTAGAGACAGGGTCTTGCTCTTGCTCAGGCTGGTTTCAAACTCCTGACCTCGAGCAATCTGCCAGCCTCGGCCTCCCAGAGTGCTAGTGTTACAGGCGTGAGCCACCGTGCCTGGCCCACATTTTTAAATGGTTGGAAAAAGTCAAAAGAAGAATAATAATTTGTGATGCATGAATTGTATATGAAGTTCGAATCTCAGTGTTCACAAATAAGATGTGTTGGAACACGTCATTCTCATTGGGGAGTGTGTCATCTGTGGCTGCTTTTGTGGTACAACAGCCAGAGCTTTGTGGCCACGACGGAGCCCTGGGGCCCACGGGGCCTAAAATACTCACGGTCTGGTCCTTGGCGGGAAAAGTCCGCTGGTGTCTGTCTCAGATGCCTGCTGCTGGGCCTCCCCTGACGTCCTTGCTCCTCGCTGAGACGGCCTCGTCTTTGACTTCTAGTCATCTCAGCTTGTAATCAGAGAGGTTTTTAGTTTAAAACGTTTTTCTTGGCCGGGCGCGGTGGCTCATACCTGTAATCCTAGCACTCTGGGAGGCCGAGATGAGCGGATCGTTTGAGTTCAGGAGTTCGAGACCAGCCTGAGCAAGAGTGAGACCCCCGTCTCTACTAAAAATAGAAAGAAATTAGCTGGACAACTAAAAATATATAGAAAAAATCAGCCGAGCGTGGTGGCACATGCCTGTAGTCCCAGCTACTCGGGAGGCTGAGGCAGGAGGATCGCTTGAGCCCAAGAGATTGAGGTTGCTGTGAGCCAGGCTGACGCCATGGCACTCTAGCCCGGGCGACAGAGCGAGACTCTGTCTCAAAAAAAAAACAAAAACGTTTTTCTCATAAAAGCAGTAACTGTGTATATTTGTTGTAGACAGTGTGGAAAGTGCGGCGGTGAGTGAAGGAGGGACAGGTCACCCCTGAGCCCTTCGCTCCCCCGGTTAACTGCGGCAAACACCTCGCTCTGCCTCTTTCCGCCCTCCGAGGTGCCCATGGACCCGCTTCTGTGCACGTGCACATGGTGTTTGTGAAACTCAGCGCTGTGTAGAAACCCATAACCTGTTCTCACTTCACGAGCGAGGGCTAGCAGATGCCATTCAACCTGTCTTTTCCATCCGTTCTCTCCAGCATCTCAGAATAACTACCGCGTGGACGCCAACCAGGAGCTGCTGGCCATCGGTAAGACTCCAGGGGCCTGGGCCTGCCCCCTGGGTCCCTCTGAGCTGTGCGGAGTGTCGCGATGGTCGGATTTTCAGGACAAAGCGCCAGGGGCATGGTGGTCCTTCCCTAAAAGAACGAGCCCCAGGTTCGGGCCCCTCGTGGGGGTCCCTCCACCTCTGCCCTCCTGTTCCTTCCTGGTTCCGTCTCCCCGCCACCGTCTCTTTTCCCTCCTCACTAACCCCCGCTTCCACCCCAGGCCTCACCAACGTGCTGGGCTCCTTCGTCTCGTCCTACCCGGTCACGGGCAGCTTTGGACGGTGAGTGACCCGTCCCTCCTCTGCGCCTGGGGGAGGGCCCTTTGCCCACCTGCGACGGCGTATTGCTCCTGTCCTGGTTGGGGGTGTCCGTCATCCCTGTGTCCGCTGTTGACTGGCTGGGACAGGGCTGGGGGCCACTGTCCTCCAGGGTCCCCCGGCTCCTGCACGCCAACAGACGGCACCGCAGGTCAGCCCTGGAGAGTTCCCCACGCGTTCTCGGCGCCAGGCTCATTCCTGACGGGACCTGGGACAGGAAGGACGGTGGCTCTGCCCTGAAGAGATCCAGACCCTCTTCAGTGGCCGCTGTCCCCCGCCATGGGGACCCTCTGGGTCAGGACTGCAGGGTGGGGATGACCCGAGGCTTAAAGCAGAAGAGCAGGCGTCGCCCAGCAGGGCCTGGTCCCCAGAGCCAAGGACCCCGGCCCTGCTGGGTTGGCCCCACCCGGATGGGGAGGAAGACAGAGTGGGTGGGAATCTCAACGGCCTGGCTCTCTCTGGTTTGTGTTCTTATGGTCAGTGAGAGATGATGTGTGTCGCCTAAAAACAGCAGGACGGATTGAGCACAGCTGCCTGTGGCTGTGCCCTAAGTCTCCTGGCCTCGGCGCCCCCACCCCCAGCCCTGCTTCCCACCGGCCCCTCGGAGCCACCGGCCCTGGGAGACCAGCCGTGGCCGCGTGGCCAGAGGCTGCCCCTTCCCCTCCTGGCCCCCGGTGGTTCAGTCTCTTGTTTCTTCCAGGACGGCTGTGAACGCCCAGTCGGGGGTGTGCACCCCAGCGGGGGGGCTGGTGACAGGTGAGCCCCCCACTTCTCCCCTGGTGCCCGTGGCGGTGAAAGTGGGGGGGCCAACAGCCAGAGACGGCCCTGCCTGGTGGGCCACGTCCCCTGGAGCCACGCCGGGGGCTGGGGGCCGTGTTGCTCATGCCCCCACCCCCTCGTCCCAGGCGAGGCTCCTCCCCACAGGGGGCTGCTTGCTGGGCGGGCCCCTGACCCCCAGGTGACCGGCGCCCCGTGCCCCACAGGAGCGCTGGTGTTGCTGTCCCTCAACTACCTGACCTCCCAGTTCTACTACATCCCCAAGGCCGCGCTGGCCGCCGTCATCATCATGGCTGTGGCCCCGCTGTTCGACGCCAAGATCTTGCGGACGCTCTGGCGCGTTAAGAGTATGTGTGTCCCACCCCTGGCGTGGGGAGGCTGTGGTGCGGCACCTGCGAACGCAGGGTTGTCCTCGGTGCTCCGCAGCTGGGGGCTGGAGCTGGGAAGCTGGGCGGTCCCAGGACAGAGGGGTGAAAGGCCAGGAGGTGGCCGCAGAGGTGGCCCGTGGCTGGCAGGCCGTGCCAGCTGCAGCTCCTCCTTCCCGAAAGGCTGCTGCACTGGTCCGCGGGGTCCTGGCGCAGCTCCGGCGTGGAGCGGCCCCCCCGCCCGTCGTCCCCACGGGTGGCCCAGCTGAGGGGGGACTTCCCGGGGGACCGGCAGGGTCCAGCGTATCCGCTGACCTTGCTCCACTGGCCACAGCGCCTCGGGGCTTCCTGAGCCGACTGTGCCTTTCGTGTAACAAATTTCATTTTCTTTTGCGTGTCAAAGCAGCGCTGGAAGGATTTATGTAGCTCGTTTGGCATTTTTGGGGGCAGCCCCGGCAAGTTGCCGCGTGGAGGGTCCTTTGTACAGTATTGCATCTGATCCTTAGATCAGCCCCAAGCATCAACGCGCCCTCGTGCAATATAGCAGATGCCACCGAGGGAAACCGAGGTCCAGGGAGGGTGGGGATGTCCGAGTCACGTGTGTCTGGTGGACTCCACCGGGGCTGACCCCCAAGCCCAGCACTTTGCCCCAGGACACCTCCTCCTTGGCCAGGGGTCCCCAGGGCTCACGTGACCCTCAACCCCACCTCTCAGGCCGGCTCTGTGCCCGGCCCCTCCTCCTTTGGCACCGACGAGCCCCTGCCGTCCTCCTCCTCCTCCTGTCCCGGCAGGTCTTGACCCTGGCTCGGCAAAGACGGGGAGGGAATTTGACCTTGGGCCGCAGCCCCCATCCCCACGGCGTGGCCTCTTTGGCAGCTGCCGTCCTCAAATCCCGAGAGCGAGTCCCCGTGGGGGCCACTCCGGGTCCATGAGTGTCCCTACTCAGTGCGGGAGAGGCCAGGAAGCGTCCTCCCGGGTGTCGGGGCCGAGTCGGGGCCTCAGGGAGGAGGGCGTGCCCCTCAGCCAGCCGCACCCCTCCCCTAGGGCTGGACCTGCTGCCCCTGTGCGTGACGTTCCTGTTGTGCTTCTGGGAGGTGCAGTACGGCATCCTGGCCGGGGCGCTGTTGTCCGTGCTCATGCTCCTGCACGCCGTGGCCAGGCCCCACACCCAGGTACCGCCCGCCCCCGGGGGAGGGGGAGCACCCCGTGGCAGGAGGCCTCGCTCCTCAGCACGACTCTCTCTCGGGTTGTGAGCTCACCGAGTGACCGTGGCCGCTGCTGACGCCGCCGCTCGCTGGCGCGCAGGCTCATCCTCTGGTTACAAACCGCAGTGCTCATCGCACTGCCCGTGGGCTGGCCTTGGGGGGACCCCGCCAGCCCCCCCTCCCCGTCCCCTCCAGTGCGCTGGGCCTGCCTGGGTCGGGGCTTCCTGCCCGGGACGGGCCACACCTGGCGGAGGCCGCCCTGTTGGGCCTGCGTCCGGCAGCCACTCGCTTTCCTCAGGTGTCCGAGGGGCCGGTCATCGTCCTGCAGCCGGCCAGCGGCCTGCACTTCCCTGCGGTGGAGGCCCTGCGGGAGGCCATCCTGAGCCGGGCCCTGGAAGGTACGTGGGCCGGGCCCAGACGGAGCTGAGGTCGCCCCAGCTCCCCGCCCCGCCCTCTGCACCCCAGCCGGGAGGATCCGGGGTGTCCCAGCGCACAGGACGTCCCCTGCGGACGCCTGGCCTGACACCTGCTCTGCTCGGTGCTGCAGCCGGGGTGGCGGTTCCCCGCACGTTGCTCCCCCGTTGCCCCGTTGGCCCCTTCCTGGGGAGCCCAGGCACCTCTGGTCCTGGGAAGGCAGCGGGGGCTGCTGTCCCCGAACAGCCATCGTCCAGGGAGCCATTGCCGGCCTCACTCTGCCCCTGGCCAGCGCACGGGCTGCTTTGCCCGGCGTGACCGGCTGGCCTGTCTCCCAGCGTCGCCCCCGCGCTGCGTGGTCCTGGAGTGCACCCACGTCTGCAGCGTCGACTACACCGTGGTGCTGGGGCTCGGCGAGCTGCTGCGGGACTTCCACCGGCGGGGCGTCGGCATGGTCTTCGCCGGCCTGCAGGTGGGTGAGCCGGGGGTCAGCAGCCGCCGTGCGGCCTTCCCGCCAGCCCCGCCTGCCTGGGCCGTGGCGCTGCCCGAGGGTGGACGGCCCAGGGTGGACCTGCCTGGCTCCCGCACCCACCCGGCCTTCCGCCCCCCGACCCTGTCAACCGGGGAGCGGCAGCCCCCTGCCCTCCAAGGGGTCACGTGTGTGGCCTCATCTCCCCGGCGGTCGATGCCAATCCACGTCCTCAGCCATGCCGTCCTCGGTGCTGGGGACACAGGGTGAGTGACAGCTGGTCCCTGCTCTCGGGAGCTGTGGTTTGGGAAGCGGGACACACGTCAGTGTAGAACTGTGTGCAGAGAGCTGTTGTTGCGGCTTCAGAAAGCTGCAGAGGACAGGTCCCCGTGGCGACTGTCCTGGCAGGGCACAGGTGAAGGTCCCGGGCGGGGCTCGTCGGGGCCGTGCCGTTCCACCGCGGTGCTTTTCTTCCCGTCGGAGTGAGACCAGGACCGGCACAGCCTCGCCCGGGAGCGTTCCGGGCGGCGTGGGGCCGTCGTCCTGGGGGAGTGGCCGGGGTCAGCAGCAGGAGGGGTCGCTGTCACTGCAGTTAGGTGTCCTCCCTGCCACGTCCTACGTGGTGGCATGTGGGGGACGTCGGCGTGTCCCCCAGGTTTGCAGAGATGTTTGTGAAGTAGCCGTGAGACCGGGCGCCACTTGAGCCCAGCACTCGGGGTTTCGTTCACTCTCAAACCAGCCTGCGAGGCCCACACCCGCCTCATCCCCCTGTCCAGCCGCAGCCACCGAGGCCCAGAGAGGCTGAGTGACCTGCCCGGGGTCACACAGCGGGGGTGGCAGGCTCTGCTCCTCACCTTTCGTCCCGTGGCATGTCCACGGTGCACGTCTTGTGTCTCTGGTCTCTGGAGACGATTCCTTTGCAAACGTGCCCGTCTGGCAGCCTCCCCGGGAGCAGGGGTTCTCTCCACCTCCCCGTGTGGACGTGAAGCCGCCCCTTTCCGGGGGCGCTAAGACGGGGTGCCCACCCAGGCCGCCTGCCCCGTGTGTCACAGGGGAGCGTCCCTGCCCTGGGCTAAAGTCTGTCTGTCCCCCAGGTCCCCGTTCTCCGTGCCCTGCTGTCCGCCGACCTGAAGGGGTTCCAGTACTTCTCCACCGTGGAGGAAGCAGGTGGGTGAGGTCGGACACCCCACGGGGAGCTGGGACAGGCGGCCGCGCCCCCACCCCGGGGGGTCAGGCCGGAGCATGGCAGTGACTCCAGAACCAGTGGCTCTGGGACAGGGAGAGGACATGACCGCAGGCGCCAGAGGGCCTAGCTTGCAGACCAGGCTGCCCGGCCTCCCCTGCCTCTTCGCCGAACGTCCTCAACGCAGCGAGAGCCACGGTCTGCCGGAGCAGGGCGGGTGGCTCCAGTGGTCGGAGGCCCCCTTCCTTCTCTAGAGCAATTTTTGTTAGCACGGCCGAGGGTTCGAGTAGAAGCGTTTAATTACCCATTTGCAAGCAGAGAGAGCCTTAAGTTTGCAGCTTGAGTTCTGACGGATGGATCCATATGGTAGAATTTGCAGATCCATTCAGAGAGTCCCTTCATGCCGCCTGCCTCCATTCCCCCACTCCTGGCCAGGAGGAACCACCATGCTGATTTCTGCCACCCCGTAGTTAGTTTTGGCGCTGTTCAAAACTATCATAAAGATGCTCTGCGGCCGGGCCCGCAGGGCTCACGCCTGTAATTCTAGCACTCCTGGGAGGCCTGGGCGGGCGATTGCCCAGGCAGTAGTTCAAACCAGGTCCCTGAGGCAAGAGCGACGACCCCCCGTCCCCCTCTACTAAATAGAAAAGAAATAATTGCCAACTAAATACATATAAGAAAATAATTGAGCCCGGGCGTGGTGGCGCCATGACCGTAGTCCGCAAGCTACTCGGGAGGCCCCTGAGGCAGGAGAGTTGCTTGAGCCCAGGAAGTTTGAGGTGCTGGAGCTAGGCGCTGAACGGCCACGGGCACCCTGCACCCTAGCCTGGCAACAGAGAGAGGACTCTGCTCAAAAAAAAAAAAAAAAAAAAAAAAAAGTGCTCAGTGGGCAGAGGGGGCAGACCCGGGCGGCCTGCCGCCAGGTCCTGAGCAGCGAGGGGTTAGCGGTCACCTAGACGGCAGCAACTGCTGGGAGAGACGTTCTCCCGTTTGGGAATGCCCCAGCCCTGGCGAGCCCGCCACCCCTCCCAGCGCGGCGCCAGGCCTGAGACCCGGCCTCCACACTCCTGCCGTCCCTACCCAGCGCTGCCGACAACTCGTGTTTCCTGCAGAGAAGTACCTGAGGCAGGAGCCAGGGACGCAGCCCTACAATGTCAGCGAGGACTCCGTGCTGAGCCAAAAGGTCGCCTCTGTTGGAAGACCTAACGGAGCCCGCCGGGCCGTCTCAGAGCGCGGAGAGTGCCCCGAAGTTCACCCTCACCTGTGATCTGAGGCCACACAGACATCCTCCGCCCGGTAAAGCACCTGAGAACGACCCCCGAGCAGGTACCCATGGGGACGGAGCAAGGAAGCCCCCGTTGGCCACAGGGGGACCCGCTGGCTCCCCGCTGGGCAGTTGGAAAATGCTCTCCCTCGCGTTCCCGCCGCCAATGGACCCGATTTTGAAGAGCGGTGTGGAGAGAGCCTTTGGGCCCGACAGCCACGTGAAAAGAAGGTAGCATGGTTCAGCCCCGGGGCCGGTGGCGTCCCTCTGGCCCTCAGCACCTCCAGGTTCTGGTGGTTCACTTGCAGCCGGCCAGTCGCCGGGCGGGGCCGGCAAGGGCATCCTGGGACGACTGTCTGTCCTGGTGCAGCATTGGAGAGAAAACCAAGGTGTGCCAAGTGACTTAAAGTCTCTATTTTTTTTTTTTTTTTTTTGAGACAGAGTCGCTTTGTCAGCCCAGGCTAGAGTGAGTGGCCGTGGCGTCTGCCTAGCTCACCCAGCAACCTCAACGACTCCTGGGCCTCAAGCGATCCCCCTGCCCCAGTCCCCAGTACGGACTAGCAGGCATGTGCCCACCCATGCCCAGCTAATTTTTTCTATATTTAGTTGGCAATTAATTTCTTTCTATTTATAGTTAAGACGACGGGTTCCGCTCTGGCTCAGCTGGTTTCGAACTCCTGACCTCGAGCAATCCGCCCGCCTCGGCCTCCCAGAGTGCTAGGATTACAGGCGTGAGCCACTGCGCCCGGCCTCTATTTTAAAATGATTTTGTGATTTTTTTTAAATGAAAAAGTTAATAGCTTTGGTGGTTTTTGTAAGAATCATAAATGCTTATTGTAAATAATACAGGAAAGCATTCCTCCTTCTCCCCCCCCCCACCAGCCCTCTTGGGTGATCACTCCAGACGCCTCCAATATGCATATCCGTCTGTCACCATGTGGACATAACGTTTACAGTTTTACATACATGGGATCATTTCATACGTGGTGCTCTGCTCATGCAGTTGTTTGATGTGAAGTATTTATTGTGATAATAAATAGTGTTAGAATGCGTGATTCTCACTGTCTACGTATTTTGTCCGGTATGTGCACCCTACTTAGTGAGCCCTCCGGTCCCCGTGTGCACGGGTTATGGACTGAACCGTGGCCCCACAAACGCTGCAGTTGGAGCCCCACCTGCAGTGAGACCCTGTCTGGAGATGGGGCCTTTAGGAGGGAATTAGGATTGAATGAGGTCACAGGGTGGGGCCTTGAGCCGGTAGTGTTAGTGTCCTTAGAAGGGACGCTGGCGAGCCCGGTCTCTCAAGATCACACCAAGGAAAGCCCCGATAGGACACAACAAGAACGAGTCTGCAGCCAGCCATAAACAGAGGCCTCACCAGAAACCACATGGACCAGCACCGTGATCCTGGACTTCCAGCCCCCAGAATCGTGAGAAAATTCGTTTCTGTTTTTTAAGCACCCCCAGTCTGGAGTATTTTGTCACAGCAGCCTGAAACTGCTCGTGTTATTATTTTTACTTGCGCACACTAGGGGTAAATCCCTAGGGGTCTAGAGTAGCCTGCAGGCTGCTGTCCCTGGACATGCTTCAAGAAAGACCTCACTGGCCGGGCGCGGTGGCTCACGCCTGTAATCCCAGCACTCTGGGAGGACGAAGCAGGCGGATTGCTTGAGGTCAGGAGTTTGAGACCAGCCTGAGCAAGAGCGAGACCCCATCTCTACTAAAAATAGAAAGAAATTAGCTGGACAACTAAAAATATATAGAAAAAATTAGTTGAGTATGGTGGCTCATGCCTGTGGTCCCAGCTACTCGGGAGGCTGAGGCAGGAGGATCACTTGAGCCCAGGAGTCTGAGGCTGCTGTGAGCTAGGCTGACGCCACGGCACTCACTCTAGCCTGGGCAACAGAGTGAGACTCTGTCTCCAAAAAAAAGAGAGAAATAAAGACCACTGTGCAGAGCCACAGGCTGGCAGCCCCCAGGTACAGGGCCAATGTCTGAACCAAATCGGCCAGCACCATGGGGACCAGGGGGCGGACCAGTGCTGGCCAGTCCAGCCAGGCTAGGGCCCCTCTGACTGGTGGGCAGTGCTGCTCTGGGCTCCCCACTGGGCTGCCTTCATCATCTCCAGGTTCCTTATCTTCAGCCCCCTGGCCTCTGTCCCCCCAGCCCCTGACCCGGTCAGGTTCATCGCAGTCACACACCTCGACTCGGTGGCTACTTTCTCAGAAGCTCAGACCGAGGTGCTCCGGCAGCCCGGGGCAGCAGCGGGGGCAGGGGGGTGTGTGTCACAGCACCGTTAGTAACTCAAAGAAGTGGAAAGCAACCTGCACATCTCTGGGCGTGACGGAACAAGATGCAGACTGAGGACTAAACTCTGATCTTTTTCTTTTGCTAAAAACTCCTTCCTAAGGAGGCCAGCTGGGTCAGGCTGACAAAACGGTAAATTCCCACTAAGCTCGCCAACCTGATTCTGGTATGGCATTAACATCACCTAAAAGATAAGAAGCCCCTGTCTTAACTCAAGCATCCTAGCAGATGCCTATCATAAATTTAAAATATCTTAAAGCATCCTAGCAGGTGCCTATTGTAAATTTAAAACATCCTCCTGTCTGGACCTCCCCCAGAGTGCTCACACCCTTATCTTAAAATAAGCATATCCTTTCTGGTCTTCTAGATAAAGTCTAACTCTTTCAGCCAATTGCCAGCCAAGAATCTTTAAACCCACCTGTAACCTGTAAGCCCCCCCCCCCTTGGAGATGTCCCACCTTTTTGGGCCAAACCAATGTCTGCTTCTCATGTATTGATTTGTGACTTTGCCTGTAACCCCTGTCTCTCTGAAAATGTATAAAACTGAACTGTCACCCAGCCACGGCGAGTCCACTTGCCCAAGTCCTCTTGGCAGTGGCTCCGGGTCATGGTCCTCAAACTTGGCTCAGAATAAATCTCTTTAAAATTATTTTGCAGAGTTTGGCTTTTTTTTTTGTTGACAAGACCGACGCCCCTCTCTGTGAACTTTGAACACAAACCGAACCGTTCTAGGACGGAGGGGCTACAAGCCTTCTAGAAAAGTTCTAGAAAGACAGACATCAGACTCATAGAAGTAGTTACTCCTCGGTATTACCTCTTAGGTTGATTTTAACGCAACCTGCGTGGTTTAATTTTCCAAAGAACAGTATATACATGTATTACTTTTTAATTCAAAACTAATTTTAAAAATAAAAGAGAGGTGTGGATAGAGTTTGGAATTCAGTGTCAGAGGGGCTGGGAAAACCGCCCAGGAGTTTGCGGTTGCTGGGATAGCTAGGCTGACGCCACGGCACTCACTCTAGCCCGGGCAACAAAGTGAGACTCTGTCTCAAAACAACAACAACAACAACAAAAAAAAAAAACCACTCTCACAAACTCAGAATAGAACTTCCCCACCCAGATAACAGGGCATGTGTGCAGAGCCCACAACTAAGAGCGCGCACAGCTGTGTGCATGTGTGGCGCCCTCCCGAGATCAGACGAGACCGGGATGTCTGCTCCCACACTCCCATTCAGTATCGTGCCGGAGATCCTAGCAGGAGAAATTAGATGTTTTAAAGGCATCTAAAATGGATAGGAAGAAGTAAAACTGTCAGGTAACGTGTTTGTATGTGAAGAAAATATATAAGTATTGAATGTATATTAAATACACATATACACGCGTTAACAGACAAAAAGCCAGACTCCTTAAAATAATTTTAAAGGGATTTACTCTGAGCCAAATTTGAGGACCATGGCCCGGAGACACGCCCAAGAAGCCTTGAGCACGTGGACTCACTGTGGCTGGGTCACAGTTTGGTTTTATACATGTCAGGGAGACGGGCGTAAAAGGAAAAGCAAGAAACAAAAACGGAAAAGCAAAAGGAAAATGCCTTGGCCCGAAAAAGGGGGCCAACCCCAAAGAAGGGGGGGGCTTACAGGTTACAGGTGAGTTTAAAGATTCTTTGACTTGTAATTGGTTAAAGACGTGCAGCTTTGTCTACAGGCTTGGAATGTTTTGACACAAGGAGCTGTTCATGGGAGACAAGCCACCCGACATACACTTGTTGTGTACATTGAGGACCTGCAGGCGTGTCTTGCATAGCCTTAGGCCTTGTTGATGGGTTACAAAGGATGTCCCCAAGAAAGGAGGGCGCTTGATGAGGCAGCTCTGACCTTCCTCCTCCTGGCAGGCAATTTAGTTTTAGGATGTTCCTTTGGCCTGGGAGGGGTTCCATTCAGTCAGCCAGTGGGGAGTGAGGCTTAAAATTTGACTTTAGTTCACACAGGCCTGCAGTGTTTACAGAGATTTTTTTTTCGGCATATTATGGGGGTACAGCATTTAAGTTTCAATAAATGCCCTTTTCCCCTCCCCCCCACAAGTCTGAGTCTCCAGCATGACCATCCCCCAAGAATGGCTCACACTCACTCCATGTATGTATGTATATACCCGCCCTGCCCCCTCCCACCCTGCCCAACACACCCTATTACCGTAGTACCTATGTGTCCACTTAGGTGCTGTAAATGCTCTTGAATGGGGGTCATGCTCCTTTGACCCCACGAAGTAAAAAAAGAGTCCCAGAGTCAAATGTTGCCCAGGCTGATGCAGGGAGAGTCCTGCATCAGCTCTGAATGGTGTCCCCACCACAGGCTTCAGGCCGTAGAGACGGAAGAGCAAACTCTGGCTGGGACGGGTGGCCCTCGGGAGACCTCACGTGGCCATCGCCAGGCCCCTGACCACCACTGAAGTCACCGCCCGT